ATAAATTTTCTCAGAGTTACCAGTTTAAATAGCGTTATTTTATGGTTATCTAATTGTTTTGATTGTATACGATAGAATAACAATTAAATGAATTATTACTTAAGAGTGTTTTTTACCAAAAATTCCTCTCAGTGTAGATTTGAGTCCGTAAGTTTTTTATTTTTCCCTAAGTTTTGTTATTTTTCTTTTAAGTTTAATTTTTAAAAGCAAGGAGCTCTAAACAAATTTTTAAAGTAAGCAGTTTCATAAATCTTAGCCTCAGTTAGATTCAATTGAAAATACTATGAGCAATTATTTTCAAACTAAGTTATTTGTTTAATTTATAAAGCTTTAATTTCACAGAATAAAAAAAGTATATTGCGTTAAATTATCTAAATTTATTAAAGACAAATTTCTGAAACAGAGTGAAATTAATAAATTTTTGAAGGAGAGGTTTCAAGCTAAAAATTTGCATTAAATATCCATTTTCAAATTCAATTTTGTAAACTCTTTCGATATAAATTTGTTTAAAATCCAAACTTAATATCTGTTGTGATTAGACAAAATAAGTATAATTTTTTCTCTGCAATAATCTTAGCTTAGTATGAATTCGAATAAAAAAAATTAACTAATTAATATTAACTACTTACCTTTACTTTAATATTGTTTTTACTGTAAAATTTCTGCAAAAGTAGTTTTCTTAAGTCAAAAATAAATAAATAATAAAATTAGTAATAAAATTACTGAAATACAGAAATATTTAAATACCTTATTTTAGGCATATATTAAACTAATTAAATTGTGTCAAAATCTTACTTAAATGTTTTTGACGCTTCTGAATTATAAGTAATTATAATTAAATCAAGTATGTATTTTATACATTTGAGCTTTTATGAATATAGAAAGTGTACGTTATTTCCGTTATCAATATATATGTATAGAATTTGTACAGAATTTTTACCTAAATATAAGAAATTTTTAATCAAAAAGAAAAAAAAAGACATAAACATTATAAAAAGTTGATTTACCAACCTCAAACTCTTTCAATTTGACAGCAATGCAAAGTAACTGTAGTTTTTCTGCAGATTCATCAGAAAATATACTTCTGAAACAATAACTGCATATTAATTCAAATTTACTGCAGTATAATCACGGATTTTAAGTTTCAGCTTTTTCNAAATAAGTATAATTTTTTCTCTGCAATAATCTTAGCTTAGTATGAATTCGAATAAAAAAAATTGACTAATTCATATTAACTACTTACCTTTACTTCAATATTGTTTTTACTGTAAACTTTCTACAAAAGTAGTTCTCTTAAGTCAAAAATAAATAAATAATAAAATTACTAAAATACAGAAATATTTAAATACCTTATTTTAGGCATATATTAAACTTATTAAATTGTGTCAAAATCTTACTTAAATTTAAATGTTTTTGACGCTTCTGAATTATAAGTAATTATAATTAAATCAAGTATGTATTTTATAAATTTTAGCTTTTATGAATATAGAAAGTGTACGTTATTTCCGTTATCAATATGTATGTATAGAATTTTTACCTAAATATAAGAAATTTTTAATCAAAAAAGAAAAAAAGGCATAAACATTATAAAAAGTTGATTTACCAACCTCAAACTCTTTCAATTTGACAACAATGCAAAGTAACTAGTTTTTCTGCATATTTATCAGAAAATATACTTCTGAAACAATAACTGCATATTAATTCAAATTTACTGCAACATAATCACGGATTTTAAGTTTCAGCTTTTTCTAAATTTATGATTTTAAAGTGACCTTACTGAAACTGCAGTAATTTTGTAGACAATAGCCAAAAGTTTTTTTGAAATAAATTGATGATAAATTACTTCACATTAGCTGCAAAATAACTGCAGTGTTTTTACAGTTAAGATTGCACTACAGAAAATCTGCAGTTAACCCTAGAAAAACTACAAAATTACTTCAGTTCTGTAGAAAAACTGCAGTTTACTTTTAGCTGGGGAATTTGCAGATAGAAAAAGGCAGGTGGTATATAAAGACATTCGCCGTGATATTTATTCAACCATTTTATTCCGCCTAAGTTGTTTTAAAAAATCTAAGATTTTTTTCTTGCCTCTTATTTCGCATATCCTCAATTTTCAAAAAATCACTAGCTTTGGTTTAATGCTTTTAGTGTATTTAGTTTTATAACAAATGTGGTTTTTTGGAAAAAGAAAAAAAATCAGACTCAATTGTTTTTACATTTTACACCGGTCTTTAAAAATTTATTTTTTTTAATTTTTTTTTTCAAAACATTTATTTTTTCCCTCTTTCTTCATCTAAAGTTGCTGTTTTTGTATTGCAAAATAAACTACCGAAATTTATAATAGCACGCCACTTAAATCAGACGGTAATAATATTAATTTTGGTCATTTTCTGTTCATAAATGTTTTATTTCTTGTCTGCTGTTTTTCCCTTTACTTTTTCTCTTCCCTTCTATTTTATACATATTCTGCTTATTTAAGAGTATACTCTTAACTGTATACTCTTAGATGTATGTTTTCAGAAGTTGCATTTTCTAAATATATCAAAGTTTTTTAAAAAAAAAAAAAAAAAAAACTCTGAAGGGGATTTAAAATTAAATGAAATTGAGCTTACTAAACTTAGGGTTGAGGGTTCAAACTCTGTCAGAGTAATCGGAGCCATTATTTCACAACTCTCCTTGTTGAGGCTCAAGTGAAAATATAGTAACAAATAATACTATGACGATAATGAAGATTAACCTATTTGTTATCATATAGGTTATATTTTACAATATCAAATTTAAACAAAATCTTAATTTAATTGAAAAATTTCTTTTTATATGCCTAAAATGGACAAAGATTGAATAAACCATTTTGTCGCTTAAAAATCTATAGATTATGCATTCTTCAGAATAGTGATGAACGTTTAAATTTTGCTTTTCCCACTAGATGGTGGAACCAGGTGCTATAGTCAATAGTTAAATAAAGTCTCTAACTCACTGCAATCTAAGATATCAATTTACTACATTGTAAAATTTTGTTTTTATATAATATGCTCTCTCCTCCGATTGTTCTTGTTTTCCAGTGGCACCATCTATGGTCAAAAATTCAACTTTCTTCACACCCATACATAACACCCTCTTTATAAGATCATTCATTCATCAAAAAATCGTAATTTTAACCTGAACTAGAGAATGATCAAGCTTTAATACAATACCTCCAGAGGAATAATTTGTTATGGAAATATTTGAGGATTTTGTGACCCAACAGATTTAACGCACATCAGTCACTGTTTACTACACGGGTAGTCTTTGGTCGGCTGGATTCAAACTCTCGTTCTCACGAATATTCCTTGCTTCGGAGATCATCTTACTTATGAGGAAAACATAAACATTAAAACCGAAACAGTGAAAAAGCACCACCCCATTCATGTTCTGTATTTAATCTTTTGAAAGCGAAATATACAGCTTATCCGTTTGAAACATATTATTAGTTACTTATTATCGCAATACCGGTGGTACTGCAACATCATGACTAGCCAACACCCTCCAGGAAATTTAGTCTTCTGATGATAAAAATATTTACAACTATTCAGTTTCTAAACAGTTCTTCAACCGTCGCTCGAACAAAGAAACATAAATTTTTCCCTATGACATTCCCGGCCGCAGCACTATTTTCATCAGTCCAAATTCGTCTTTAACCTCAACTCGGCTTCATCTAACATACATGTAGCAAAGTTTGCAAATACAAATTATTTAAAAATTGTAAATAAAAATTTCATTTTGTTTAAATTTTGCACATGGTCTGGCAGTAAGATCTTTCCTATTTGTAGGGCACTGTGTGAGTTGTGTGATTACTTCTCTAATTTAAATTTTTTTTATAGATTTAAGATCAGAATAGGGATTATGATAAAAATTTAGTCTATTCTTTGTTGCCACCGCNTACCGGTGGTACTGCAACATCATGACTAGCCAACACCCTCCAGGAAATTTAGTCTTCTGATGATAAAAATATTTACAACTATTCAGTTTCTAAACAGTTCTTCAACCGTCGCTCGAACAAAGAAACATAAATTTTTCCCTATGACATTCCCGGCCGCAGCACTATTTTCATCAGTCCAAATTCGTCTTTAACCTCAACTCAGCTTCATCTAACATACATGTAGCAAAGTTTGCAAATACAAATTATTTAAAAATTGTAAATAAAAATTTCATTTTGTTTAAATTTTGTACATGGTCTGGCAGTAAGATCTTTCCTATTTGTAGGGCACTGTGTAAGTTGTGTGATTACTTCTCTAATTTTAATTTTTATTTTATTTTATAGATTTAAGATCAGAATACGGATTACGATGAAAATTTCGTCTCTTAAATAAAGAGCTAATCGTATTTCAAATAATGTTCAAATATTTATCTTATTTTTGTTCTCGATGAAAATGGTTAAACAAAAATCTAAATATGTACTAAATTTTATAGTATTTAGCTTAAAAGTTATAATTTTTTTTACATTTCCACTGACGATGCATATTGGTCTGTTCCACTACAAACTCGTGATTCATTTATTGGGTATAGTTTAATACTAATGACTGCTCACCCGCTTGATTAGTTTTCAATTCTTTGCTGCCACCGCGAAGTTTTATCGTTTTTTTAAACAATATATGCATAAGTGTTTTCGATAATATAGAAGAGAGAGGGGGACGATACTCAATCTCCCTTATAAGAAAAGGGATTTTTTTTTTCAAATTTAAAGGGGATTTGTCAATCACAAAACAATTTCTTCTTCACTTTGCAAATGATGTTTATTGAGATGAAATAAATGTAATTCTGACGTTTAACGTTATAAAATGTAACAATGTTGTTTTTTTTATAAATGTTAATTATAAAAAAATAATGAAAAACAAAAATAATTTTCAAAGTTATTGTAAATACAAATTGACAAGGCTTACAAATATTCCCCGGAAATCTTAGAAGTTTTATGTAAAAGATACGTGTTGCTTAAATGTTTAAAGATGGTTTTTTCTTGATAGGTGGACAAGACGCTGTTGCTCTGGAGTTCAACGGGTGGCTAGAAAACAAAGGTCAGTCCAACATGAGCGATTTTAAAGCAAACAATCCAACTTCAAAAGATGACACAAGTTCCATGACGAGGATGAAGTATCCCTTTCCGAAAAGTTTAAGAGTAGTTGATTTGCTATTAAGTAATGAAAACTTTATGTCAGTAATTGCATCTGATATAAAAAGAGATACAAGCTACGTTCTGCTTGATAGACATATATATCCCAGCGATTGTCTTTTAGCAGAGTTTTCGTGTAGAGTTTATAGCGAATGGGAAAGCTGTTCAAGTCCACTAGAGCAAGGTTGGGTTTTATTAACTACTGCTGTAAATTTCAGTGATGGCTATTTCGGAGCGGCATATTGGAATCCTAATTACCTACAAGTCGTTATAGCTCATAAGGGTGTTACATCAAACACGAAAGATATTTTGCAAGATTATCAAGGTATTTCGTCTAATAAATACACTTCTCAAATGAGTTCTGCAGCTACTTTTACTAATAATGTTGCTGAAAAACTTAAGAAACTAGTAAAAATGTTTTCAGTTTACTTGACTCTTTCTATTACTGGGCATTCAATTGGAGGATGGCTTGCACAAATCACTTCGTTTACTACCGAATATCTTACACCCAAATGGTTCGAGGAAGAGTTCTTTGTTCGAAGCGAGAAAGAAGGTTTTCACGCTCATACGGTGGTATTTGATAGCCCTGGCTGCGAAGAAATGCTGTTGAAGATGGAAAAAGATTTTATTGAGCGTTATGGTGGTAAAACTTATTTATCCTCGTTGTTAGATATCACAATTTATCTTTCTGCTCCAAATTTGGTGAATACTTTCAACTCACATCTTAATGTTGGCAGTTTATATCGGGTGTTTATTGAAGATTTACCAACAATCTCATCTAGTTGGAATTTTTTCAACTACACTCACGATGCTCACGATATTCACAAAATATGGGATGCTCTTGTTTTCAATGAAAAGAGGTGTTCGGCCAACAAAATAATGAAGATAATAGATTGGCCACTGGTAAAGGAAAGTATGGGTGGAATGGTAGGTAAATTTCTTTCGAAATCTTTGTCTTATAATCAAGAAGAATATGCGTACTTCCATAAATTAGCAGACTGTACTAATTATTATAATCCCCTCCCAGACGATAATGAATACTGTACTCTTCGTTATCAGGTAGAAGCAGTTGAAAAAGATGAATGTCGAGCCAATATTTTTACACAGTCTGAGTTTGACTTTCTTGTTGCTTATCAGATTTTAAAACCACTTGCAATACTATCAAACTCAGTAAAATTGTTTTTCTCGCTTGAGGAAAGAACTAAAGGAAAAATAACAAAAGAACAAGTAGAGAAAATATTGGAACATTATGAGTTAAAAGAGGGAGCTGGAAGAGGTGTCATCAAATGCTTTTCGGAAGGGGAACTGGTGAACTTGATTACGTGTGTCAAAAATATTTTATTTCTTTTTCCCAATATACACATTGAAATTAAAAATGAGTTGAAAAGTTTAAATATACATAAAAATGTTTATAAAAATAAGTCGAGAGAATATCTTCAATCTATTACACATATAGAGCTTAGAAACTCAATAATGGAAGACCTTTCAGAGTTCTTAAAGGATGACAGCTTGCAATTCCTTCAGATAGTTTTTGAAATGCATTCTTTAATAGGAATTAAAAAAATACACAAGTTCCTTCAAGAGACTGACAACGAATATCCAAGATGGGAAACTTTTTTCTTAAGTCTAGAGCAGCTTCTAAATTTAGAGCATTTCTTTCCACTGACTGGATTCTCAAAGTATGTAAATAAAGAAGATTCTGTGTTATTTGTGGTTGAGTGTAATCGTGATCCTAAAGAAGTGGCTACTTTTTTTAAAGATTTACATAGTGTTCTCAGAATTAAGCCTAAATTTAAATTTATATTAGTTACTCGAAAAAAGTTCAGCTTCGAACATATTTTTGAAAATGATGGAGAATTTTTCGTGGAGATTGTGGATAAATCAAAGATAAAATTTAGTGATATAACGGAGCATTCACAAAAGAGACTTTTATCGAAAAAAATTTATTTTCAAGGAGCAGAAATGAAACTCGGTAACTTAATCGAAGATAATACAAAACACATTATAAATGAAGAAACATTATTTAAGCTTATCAATAACGACATAATAGAAGTAGGTAAGGCACTTCCTGATTTATGCGATATTGAGAATGACTATATCGATCGTATATTTACACGCAATGTAAAAATTAAAGAAGAAATCAAGGAAACGTTTAGATTTTTTATTAACTACGACAAACAGGTGGATAAATCAAAATGTGGAGCAAATCAAGATATAGTGTTGATTTCTGAGTCTACCGAAGATTTTGATAAATTTTGTAATGAAAATGAAAATTACAATATTCATTGGCTTAAAGAAGAAGATAACAGATTATTATGGCAAAAATCTCGTGGTGCTCTAACTAGATTGCGTGAGTTTATAGATTCAAAGTACGTTTCTGAATATTGTGATATAGATGACCGTATAGTAATTATAAGTACAGAACCTGGAGCAGGCAAAACCACTGCATTAACCAAACTTGCACAAGAAATGAAAAAGAGCAATCCCTATTTATGGGCAGTGAAAATTAATTTTAATGATTTTGCATATAAGCTAGGAAGTACAGATTTTCATGAAGATAATATTTTAGAACTTTTACTCCATTCATTAAATTTAAATACTCCTCTAGAGAGAGATTTATTTATGCATAGACTTGCTACTACTGGTAAAGTGACCATATTATTTGATGGGTTTGATGAAATAATTCCAAAATACAAAGAGAAAGTTGTTGAACTATTAAAAGGTTTAAAGGACTCAAAAATAGAGAAGCTGTACATAACTACTCGTCCTCACACGAAAGATGCGCTGGAAGATACATTAAGTTTGCTATCGTATAGTCTAAAGCCCTTATCTAGAGAGGATCAGGTTGTGTTCATTAAAAAGAAATGGTCTAAAGTTCTGGACCCCATCATGACAGAAGAAAAATATTTGGAGAATTATGCGAGTAAGTTACTTAATTCGATATCGCAGCTTAATTATGATGAAAGTATAGAATTTACAGGATTACCATTAAATTTAACAATGCTGGCTGAAGTTTTTCAATGTAAGTCTGAAGACTGGCTGAGTGATTATAAAACAAAAGACTCAAATTTGCTTAACCTGTATAATATCTTTGTCAAAATCAAACATGATGTATATATTACACAAAATTTGCACTTTGATTTATCAAAATCAGGTGCAGTGTACAATGTTCTTTATGCCTCTTTTTTAAAAAAATTGTCTTTTTTAGCACTAAGCGCAGTTTTTTGCGAAGAAGACTTAAATAAGTTCTTAGAAAACAAGATAGAAAAAGTAGAACAATTTAAAAAACAGACACAAGAAGAAGGCTCTGTTGGTTTCATTAGCCATTTTGTTAATGGTAAACCGATCTTTACTCACTATAGTTTCGCTGAATTTTTTGCAGCATATTTTTTATCCCAGAAAAAGTATCTAAAGCATCAAAAAATAAGGAATTTTTTATGTGAACAAGTTTTCGGGAATGAGAATAGATTAATCTGCAAATTTTTCGATTATATGGTAGCTGATGATGAAAATGAATGTAAAGTACACATTGCAGTCTTAAACAATGACAGAAATAAAGTATTACAGCTATTAGAGGGATGCGTAGAGAAAAATTTTACTAATGCTAGAGATAAATTCGGAAGAACAGTGCTTCACTTAGCTGCAGCATATGGGTACCTGAATATCGTGAAACTTCTATTGGATAGTGGATTCACTGCCGATGCTAGAGACATATTTAAGTGGAGTCCCTCAAGGTATGCTGATAAATTTGGACATAAAGAAATTGCTGAATTTCTCAAACGCCTACCATAAACAAGGCTACCTTTGAATCATCAAAGACTATATTAAATTATAACTTTGGTCTATAAAAATATTGTTGAGGTTTTAGAGAATGAAATTGCTTGTTAACCTTTAATACAGTTCCTATCATTATGCTGCTCAACAGCTTATCAGGATCTTGCTAATTTTTAAATAAAAATACTCAAACTCGTTTAAAACATGCATATGATAGTAACCTTTTAACTGCGTGTAAGAATTTGAGCCTGTTTATCAGGAATCGGAGAAACAATGTCACCAAAGAGTAGTTCGTTTTAAAATCATTTATTGCGCGAATAATCTGAAAACTGAAAGAAAAAAAAAAGAATGCTATTTCTTTGTCTATCTGACTACGATACAGTTAGTTTAAAAAGTTTTAAAATCGTATTAATAGATAGAAGATCAAGTTTAAATGGTAGAAAATAAATTAAACTTAAAATTTGATATCCCACTCTTCAAGCAGTGGTTTTTAAGATGCAGTATTAAAAATCATTTAGAAGGTCGTTAAACAAATGTTTAAATCAGATGTAATTATTTCTTTATAATTTGTACATGATTTCGACCTATTAAGTGATTATTAAAAAAATTTCGTTTTGATCTTCACCACATAAATATATTTTTATTTAGCCTTTAAGTTGTACTGGGGCTAAACAAAAACGTAATAAAATATTCTACAATTTTGCCACGTTGTCTCTTTAGGTTATAAAGTCTAATTATATATTGTATTTATAGTAATTAAATTGTTTTTATAAATTAAAATCCAAATGACTCTAATGTATCTCGTAAGAATATTGCGTAAATTTGGTTAGGCTTTCCTGCGTTATATAAATATCTTATAATCTTCTGTATCATGCTACTGGTGTACACTAAGCAGCTAAATTTGAATTATGTTTGTATTAGTGTTAAAGTAATGTGAGGACAATATTGAAAAGTATATCTCAAGTATTAGCTTTTAATAATATATGATTGTTTCATGGAAACTGTTGTTAATAAGTGAGCCGCTCAGAAGCCAATGCGGTTAAGTCCATTTTTTGATATTTTCTGATTTTTGGAAATTTTGATGAAATAAATAATAATCTTCTTAGTTATTAAAGGATTTACTCGTTGGTTACTTTTTTCTAGGTTAGACAGCCCTTTTTTTAATAGCTTCTGAATATATTGTATAATAATTTCAGAAGCCATTGTGAATAAGTCCACCTTTTATCAATATTTTTTTACATAAACTTTGAAATAAAAATTAAATTCTTTTTCTTCTTTCGATATTTGTTGGTGACACTGAAAAACAAGAAATTCATAGTAACATCAGGGTTGCCAGACGTAGTATTTTTTCACCAAAAAAAGGGGTATGGTATTTTTCGTAGTATTTTTTTAAAATGTGGTTTTTATTTATTTATTTTATTTTCATTTCCTAAAAGAAAGAAAAGTGCCACTCTAGTTTTGAAGTAAAAAACAATTTTTGAAATAATCCAACAGTTTATTTTCTATTAGTCACTGTATCTAGTGATGATTGGGAAAAATAAAAGTTCGCTTATACTAGTAGACATAAATTTCTTATCTTTTTCAGCTGCCAAAAGGTATAAGTCATTTCAATAAATACTTACGTTTTTATTTACACATCCTGTACATATCGTGTTTTTTTACAGAGTTTACACCTCGAAAAAAGACTTTATACACTTTTCTAATTAAATTAATAAACCAAGAATTTTAAAACTAATGTATCAAAAAACATTAATTTTCTCAATTGTTGTGTTTTGGACTTAATCGCATTGGCTTCTGAGCGACTCAAGTAAGAATATATCATCATAACAATTCCGTTTTTTTTATGTTGGCTCATCATAAATCAGTCCAATGGGGTAACGGAGGTTTATAATAGTCCCAACATTTGATTTTTAAGGAACTATTCAACATGAAAAAAATCAAAACAAGTTGCTATTCTTATGTTGGACCATCATAAATCAGTCCGAATTCCTACATTAGGGGGATAGTTACTTAACTTGGTTACTGTCACAAAATGTAATGATTCATGATGCAATTTTTGATGGTTATCATAAGACTATGTTGGTCCATCAATGGAAAACCATCAAAAATTTTAACATTGGATTAATGAAGACGTATTATACATAAGAATGCGCCGAGGAATGTTCTAATTAACTTTCAGAAAATACTTCAATTAATGTAATAAGTGTACTTTGGGAGGGACATTCACTAATAAAGATAACATAAGTTTCCTTTGTGAACTTCTGCTATAAAATTGAAAGAAAGGAAAATAAAATCTATATTTATATATCAGATTTATTAAAGTATGGCTATTAACAAAAAAAATTTTATTCAAAAGTTAATAGATTTTAATTATCAATTTAATTTTTCTTGTTTCCATTTGCTTTACATCCGTAATTTTTCTTGTTTTTATACGCTTTGCTACCAATTTAACTTTCCACATTTTTATAAGCTTTACTATCAATTTAACTTTTCTTGTTTTTATATGTTTTTCTGATATCAATTTAATTTTTCTTGTTTGTATGTACTTTACTAAAAAAGTTTAGCTTCCTTTTTACTATGTGTAATAACGATCAGAGACTCAAAAAAGAGAGAGAGAAAGAGAAATTATGGATATTTGTGTACTTTTAAAAATCTTTATTTAATTTTGGCCACATAGTAGTATAAATATTCAAATAAATAGAAATGTGTTGCGAAGCTATATATGTCCAATTATCACCATAATATCACGTCACATAATCAGCTTTGTTTATCTGCTTGATTTTCATGTAATAGTTCTGATGTTTTCTCCGCTCCAAGTAATCTTCTAAAAAGTAAAAACAAATTTAGTGAAAAATTTATATTTGAAAATAGAGAATGTCCACTAAACTGGAACTTTCATACCACTTCTGCTATAGCTATAAAAGATGGCGCTGGGTAAAGTAAAATGGCTACGTTACGTAATAATTTATTTTAAAAAAAAACTACCGAAAAAAGGGGAATTACAAGGATCGATTTAATATGAATTGAGGTTTTGTGAGTATTAATGTTAAAGGGAGGGGGGAAACGCGCTTTTGCGATATCCTCTACCGTGTGGTGTAGCGAAATGATTTTAGAAGGGCAGGAAAATTAGTCATCACACGATCTAATCCGATGCTATGTACGTTGAAAATGAAAGTAAAGGTATCTTTTATGAACTTCTTTTTTTCTTTTCATGATTGTTTCGTTTTGCAATAAATCAACGATTCTCTGTTCTTTTGTAATTCAGTTGTTCATAAGGTCTTCGAGATAGGAACGCTAATTCCTCGATTCCGCTAGTTTGTAATGAAGAGTATTTTATCAAAGCACATAAACCACTTTATTATACTTAGACACCTCTTTTATAGCTATAGTTGAAGTTATTCGATAATTAAGAAGGTGTTTCAGACTTTATTGGGGGGATATACTGTATAAATAAAATATAAAAATTGGTTACGTGGCACTAGAGCTGCACAAAGGGATATTGGCGACTGTCTGGGAAACATCCCTGAGGATGATCCGAAGATATGCCATCGCAATTTTGATCCTCTGCAGATGAGCTCCCTTGGTATGGTAGCCCGGTGACCTGCGCACGAATACAAGCACTTAACTGTAGAACAGTTTAAAGAGGACCGATGCCGCGTACCCTCGATTACTTCGCAGGCTGATCAAAGTGGTCACCTTCCTGACCTCAGTTAGTGATGCTTGACTTCGCTATTGAATACAGGGAACCGTGTCTTTACGATCAGTCCACTGCGGGACAAATGTAAAATAGAAAATAAATTTTATCTAATTTTTTCAACTATATATATATATATATTTAATCACTGTCCTTTGTGCAGCTCTAGTGCGACTTAAATAAACTACAACAACAGCTCCACCAATATTAGTTTAAGTGAAAGTAAGTTAATACCCATAGCGCGCAAATAAAAGCAAAATTAAAGTTAATACCCATAGTACGTAAATAAAAACGAAATTAAGTTAATACCCATAGTGCTTAAATCCAAAAGGTATAAGTCCTAA